TGGTTGAGCGACTGCCTTCGGCTCAGGTCATGATCCTGGAGTCCCGGGATCGAGTCCCATATCGGGCTCCCTGCTCAGCAGGGGGTCTGCTTCTCCCTCTGCCCTCTTCCCTCTCGTGCTGTCTCTCATTCTCTCTCAAAAAAAAAAAAAAATATGTAGGTCATGGGATCAGTAGAAGTTGAAGAAACTACGCCCCCTAGAGCACCTAATTCTACCTGGGGAGGTAGTAGCGTGTAGTGTAGAATTTGAGACTTTCTTTGAAAGTCTTCTTTCCAAGCCACTTGGCCAGTAGGTCATTCCACCTCTGCTCTAGGGTATTTCTCCTCAACCTCTTGCACTATTAGGCTGTGGAATATTTTTGGTGTGTTAGTTTCAACTTGGAGTACATCTGATTTAAGAAAAAAAAAATTCAGTCATCCTTGATTTGTTCCTTTTTTGAAACTTTGGAGGATAGCTTGGTTATATTTTACTCTTTTGGCATTTTCAGTGCATTATTTTTTTTTTTAATGTAATGAATTTATAATCAACAAAATGATAAAGGAAATAATGAGAACACAGAGAATGAATTAAAACACTTAAATAATAATAAAAAAGAATAAACACTCATCATGTTTAGAGGAAGCATGCTATTAAAGAATAGTGATCCTATCCAAACTCAACATTAAGGAGGGCCTTTTATTAGTGCAACAGCAAAAACCCCTCAAATTAGCTTAAGTACGAAGGCGATTTGTTGGCCCAAATAACTGGGAACTCCAGGGGTAAATTTGTCTTCAAGCACAACTGGATACAGAAACACCAATGAAGTCATCAGGCCTCTCTTCAGTCCTTGGCTCTGCTTCTCTACACATCCTCATTCTCTACCAAATACAGGTGTCTTCATGGGGCAGGAAGAATGGCTCCCAGCAATTACTGATTCACATGTTCATGGCTGATGACTCTGGGATTACATATCTCCCCTACTAGCCACAGTTAGTAAAAGTCAATGAATTATGTCAATTGCCTTACTTTGGGTCCCCAAAACAATCACTCTAACCAAAAGGATGGGATTGTCTCATAGTCTAGGCCTGGGTCATATGCTGATCCAGTGACCAGAAGTGGGGGATGGTATAAGAAATCAAAAGTATGTATGTTTGGGAAATACTGTAGACCAACCCAAAACAAAATGCTGACTAAAAATCCTTCTAACATGCAGTAATAAACACGTATCTTTCTTCCAATATATAATTCATTTTAAAAAAAGATTTATTTATTTTAGAGAGAGAGTGCCCGTGGTGGGGAGGGATAAAGGGAGAGGGAGAGAGAGCCCGAAGCAGATTCTGCACTGAGTGGAGTCTGACACGGGGTTCTATCTCACCACACTGAGATCATGACCTGAACAGTAACCAAGAGTCAGACACTCAACCAATTGCACCACCCAGGTGCCTCCCCATACATAATTCAAAAAATGCTTTAATCTAACATAACTCAACTGTCCCAGCCTCGATTGAAAACATACCGCTCACCCTTCAGTGGGAGACAACCTAAAGACACACATCGTTTCTATATCCTGCTTTGTGTAACATATTTCCAGGCCACTTGCATTTCTCCCAAACAGGCCTGGAAAGCAAGATGGGTAGCCAAGAACAAGAGCCATATCGGTGTCTTTGCAACTTAATGCAATGGAAAATCCATATATTCTTTACTTAGCCCAAGTAAATGCTATTAATCTCTCTCTCCAAACTGAACTGAAATTATTGAAAAGCAAGTTGCATAAAGGTGTCCAACTTCTTTTTAAAAAGTTTTATTTATTTAAGTAATCTCTTCACTCAATGTGGGGCCTGAACTCAGCACCCAAGATCAAGAGTTGTACAGTCTTCTGACTGAGCCAGCCAGGAGCCCCCAAAGTGTCCAACTTTTATTTTTTTTTTTTTAAAGATTTTTTATTTATTTATTTGAGAGAGAGAGAATGAGAGACAGAGAGCATGAGAGGGAGGAGGGTCAGAGGGAGAAGCAGGCTCCCCGCCGAGCAGGGAGCCCGATGCGGGACTCGATCCCGGGACTCCAGGATCATGACCTGAGCCAAAGGCAGTCGCTCAACCAACTGAGCCACCCAGGTGCCCATTTTTTTTTCCCCCCAACTTTTAAAATGTAAATTATTTTTCAATCCTTAGAGAGATACAAGCTATAACAAAACCTCCACATTATCTATTGCTCTAAGAAAATTAAATACATTTTCTAGTTCCTTAAAAACAATACAAACAGGGGTGCCTGGGTGGCTCAGTTGTTAAGCATCTGCCTTCAGTTCAGGCCATGATCCCAGGGTCCTGGGATCGAGCCCCGCATCGGGCTCCCTGCTCGGCGGGAAGCCTGCTTCTCCCTCTCCCACTCCCCCTGCTTGTGTTCCCTCTCTCACTGTGTCTCTCTCTGTCAAATAAATAAATAAAATCTTTAAAAAAAAAAAACAAAAACTCCAATTAACCAGGAAATTTAAAAGACCCATGACACATTTTAGGAATTAATAATGACTGTTAATAAAGATTTCTTAAAGTTTATGCTTGGCTGTTGCAAGGATTATAACTGGTTTCTGTCTTGAAGTTCACTGAAATGCCAATTATGTTTGACTCCTTTTCTGTATTGATTTATGCAGACACTATCTTCCCTGTGGGAAACACATAAACTTTCAGCCTTCACACATGGCAACACTGGGAAAATATCAGCAACAACCCCTTGTTGCCAGTGCTGGTTACTTTCTTATAGTAAATGACCCTGCATCTGTCTTCCTGGTTTGTGTGCTCATGAAAGAATTATTATTTGACAGAAGTGTAGCTGAAGGGTGTAACAATGACAAATTGACCTCTACTTATAATGAGAATCTGGGGGCTGTGTGCAAATAAAGGTCTAGGCAGAATATTTTTTGAATAATTGAGAATTACACACATGAATAAATTTGGATATGAAAAATGTAGTCACAGATGGAGAAAGCCCTTGATTCATCAGACAAGTGCCTTAAGAGAAAATACAATCATAACTAAACATTAAATCTGCTGCTTAAAATATATTAAAGCTTTTAAGCAAAACAGGCTTTTAAACTCAAGGCAATCACTTGGTTCTTTGCTCCCACTATTTTGAATGTATTTGTGTGAAAATTGGAGGAGACTCCAAAAAGGCCAACAAACAATTATGAATGATCAGTACTATTTTCTGATTCTTTGTGATCCACCATAAGTTGTTATGAGGTTAAAAAAAAAAAAAAAGGTTAATTGACCAAAGTAAAAAGAGATTAATGTCCACTGGGGTGTTGAGTACCATACTTTCAGCTCAAATTTTGAACATAAATGTTTCCTTAAAAAAAAAAAAAAAAAACAACCAACAAGACACCACGACAGCCACTCTGGAAAACAGTATGGAGGTTCCTCAAAAAGTAAAAATAGAGCTACCCTATGACCCAGCAATTGCACTACTAGGTATTTATCTAAAGTATACAAACATAGTGATTCGAAGGGGCACCTGCACCCCAATGTTTGTAGTAGCAATATCCATAATAGCCAAAATATGGAAAGAGCCCAGATGTCCACTGACAGATGAATGAATAAAGAAGATGTGGTATATATACCACATTCATCTGTGTGTGTGTATATATATATATACACACATACATATATATAATAAATTATTACATATATATAATAGAATATTACTGAGCCACCAAAAAGAATGAAATCTTGCCATTTGCAACGACGTGGATGGAACTAGAGGGTATTAGGCTAAGCGAAATAAGTCAGAAGAAGAAAAATACCATATGATTTCACTTATATGTGGAATTCAAGAAACGAAACAGATGAACATTGGGGAAGGGAAGGAAAAATGAGACAAAAATTGAGAGGGAGGCAAACCATAAGAGACATTGAACTCTAAGAAACAAACTGAGGGTTGCTGGATGGGAGGTGGGTGGGGACATGCGATAATTGGGTGATGGACATTAAGGAGGGAACGTGATGTAATGAACACTGGGTATTATATGTAACTGATCAATCACCAAATTCTACCTTTGAAACTAATTTAAAAAAAACTTAAAAAAAAAACCCCATGACTTTGGGTTTTGTTTTTTTTTGACCACCACTTTGATCTTAAATGAAAGTCTTTGTCTTAAGATTGTAATAGCTATAATCTCAGATATTTCATATTACATGTAAAATTATTTAAAAAATGATTTAGGAACAACGGTAAGTTTTGATGTTAGAACAACTAGTTGCTGAAGAAGTCAATTAACCCTGTCGCTCCTATGAACAGGTCTCCAGCTCCCCTAGGTACTTTTGCCCGCTGGGTGCTGTTTACTTTGCATTTACATTGACATGAATGAGTACAGTTCTTTTCAAACTTCTAGTCATGCTACACTGAGTATCGTGAAATCAAAATACAATCAGCATTTCAGGTTTTTCTTTATGAACATTCATATACATACAAAAGTAGAAAGAATAGTAAAATCACCCATATTCCATGATTATCAAGATATTATCACATACTTTCTTGCATCACCACACAGCCCATTGTCACACCTAAAAAAGTGAGCCATAATTCCTGGTATCATGCAATACATCTCAGGTGTCTAAAAAATGTTTTCTTACAACTCGTTTGTTTGAATTAGGATCAATCAGCATTTTATTTTTTTTAAAAGATTCTATTAAATTTGAGAGAGACTGTGTGCGTGAGAGAGCATGAGCAGGGGGAGGGGCAGAGGGAGAGGGAGAAGCAGGCTCCCTGCTAGCAGGGAGCAGGGAGCCCCACATGGGAATCGATCCCAGGACCCCGGGGATCACAACCTGAGCTGAAGGCAGAGGCTCAACCCACTGAGACACCCAGGCGCCCCTGGATCAATCAGCATTAAAAAAAAAAAAAAAGTGAAATAGAAGAATAGATTACTGCCTATCATGGGCATAACATGTAGGAAGGCTCGTTACTGTTTTATGACATTTCTTTTTATATGTGTGTATTTGTGTCATTTATAAAATGTATTTTCTTACCACTGGTCACAGAAACAGAAGCGTGAAAGCCACTGGTTTAGTGATCTTCTCCTCTATTCCATAGGCTCTGGGCAGATTTCAGTGTCCAAACACATTCTGCAGTTTAAGGAAGGATATATGTACATGAAGGAGAGCTCTGTATCTTTGCTCCTGCTGTTCCCTCTGCCTAGAACTCCCCTCGCTACCATGCCTACTATCTCATGTCTTCCCTAGCCTCCAAGGGCTGAAGGGTCATGGAACCTTTTTCTGTTCTCCTGCCCAGCTGTCACTTGGTTTGCCTCTTCTTTGTTGCTCTTATCACACTGCCTTTGGTAATGGTTATCTGGATACAATATATGTTTTATACTATTGTATAAATTAAGCTCATTAAGTGTATCATGTATAACTTCTTTGCCCTGAGATGTAACTTGCTCTATGCTTTGCTTATGCTAAGCACTTAACAACTGAATAAACTGAATTGGGAGTTTGACACACTAGCTATAGGTTATTAGGCAGTGTCAAAAAAAAAAAAAAAAATCAGACTCCAAGGAGAAACTGGAGAAGAACCCAAATTCATGAGGTTAGACTAAATCATGAAAAGTAGCAACAACAATAATGGTAGCTACATCATTTTTCAGAGTTTCTTATGTGCCTGGTACTGTAAGAACTTCACTTATTTTATCTAATATTCCCAAAAAATCCTGGGAGGAAGGGTATCACCAGCGTTACACATAAGAAAACCAAGTAGTTAAGTACTTTTGCAGAGTCTAGCATCTAAAAGTTGTCCTTCCTAATAAGATTCTATTCAGAGGCTATGGGACTCCCAATTTTTTCACCAACATTTGAATCCACTTCAGAGTTCAGAATAAACTAAGAGAGAAACCGAGGATGATCAACTTGGACTTCTCTTCCACTTTGTCACAGCTTCTGCAGTCTAAAGAAATTGGAGGATTTGGAAGTCTGAACTGAAAAACAAGCAAACACCACTATTTCCCTCTTATACACATGCACAAAACACACACACGCACACACACACACACATGCACTTTGCATGTGTTAACTATTCATTCTTCAGACCACAACCTAATGATCCTTTCCCTGGGAATCTTTTTGACTCCCAGGTGAGGTACATACTTTCTTATGGAAACATGTCTCTTTCCCTCAGAACCTGTTTCAGTGTGTAACTTATTTAATGTGATTATTTGATTAATATCTGCCTTGTCCTCTGGGATACAAGCTCCATAACAATAAGGACCACTTCTGTTTTTGTTCATCATAGTTTTCCTAGCACTTAACTTGCTGCCTGGCAGATTTTAGGTGTTCAATAAATAGTGCATGCGTTTATGAGTGAATAAATGAATGAATAATTAGACAAATTTCATCAGTCGTTGTTTCATACTTTAAGAGGAAGCCTGGTACAGCAACATAGAGAATGTTGGTTAGGGATGAAGGGTTTCAGGGATAGAAACAATTAGGAGAACATCCACTCATTCTCACCACTACCTCTCCCAGCTTGTTGCATCTGTAACCATAGACCTAATCTTTCCTTCTGTGACAATGGCTGGACTGTCTAGATCCTTACCTAAAGTCAAGCCCTTCATTTTTTACTGGACCCTATTCCTCTTGCCTCCTCGATGTACTCATTCTCTCTCATGCATTATCAAATTTTCACTTCCTACTGCAGCCCTATCCAACAGAATTTTCTATGATGATGGAAATGTTCTCTGTCCACGCTGTTCAATATGGTAGCTACTAGCCACTTGTGGCTATTGAGTACTTGAAATGTTGTTGGTTAATCACCGAGGAACTAAATTTTTAAAAGTTTAAATTAACTTAAATAGTTACATACAGATGATTTCTTTCTTTTTTTTTTTTTTAAAGATTTTATTTATTTATTTGAGAGAGAGAGAATGAGAGACAGAGAGCACGAGAGGGAAGAGGGCAGAGGGAGAAGCAGACCCCCTGTCGAGCAGGGAGCCCGATGCGGGACTCAATCCCGGGACTCCAGGATCATGACCCGAGTCGAAGGCAGTCGCTTAACCAACTGAGCCACCCAGGCGCCCTACAGATGATTTCCATCAGCAACAAACATGCTATTATTTCTTCCATCTTAAAAAATAATTCACCTCCCTCGACTTCACACCCCTTCTAGATACCACCCCTTTCTCTGCTCCCTCCTTCAAAGTATATTCCTCAAAATGTTTGTCTACACTCCCTGTATCCACTTTCCCTTCCTTCATGTACTCTTTAACTTAACTTCAGTCTATCTTTTGACTCAAGAGGTCACCATAATGTTACTCAGCATCACCACGGACCTCTGTGTTGCCAAATCCTATGGTCAATGTTGAGTGCTCATTTTACCAGAACGAACAGCAGCATTTTATATGGTTCATAACTCCCTTCTTGAAAGACTTGCCACTCTGTTACTTGGGATCTCACCTTTCTCTCTCTCAGGTCTCCTCTTACCTCTCTGGCTATTCTTTCTTAGCTTCCTGTGCTGGATTTTCATCTTTGCATCCTCTAAATACTGAAATGTCACAACCCTCAGTCCTTAAACCTCATCTCTCCTCTATATTTCCTTCCTTGGTGCTTTCATCCATTTCCATGGCTGCAATTATTAGGTATAGGCTGCAGACGCCCACATGTATCTCTTGCTCTGAACTCCAGACTTGCACGTCTTAGAGCAACCCCCCTACTGAAACCTGATATTTGGATGTCCAACAGGCACCTCAAGCTTCATATTCCATAAGATCACTTTTTTAAAAAAAAAGATTTTATTTATTTATTTGACAGAGAGATGGAGAGCACAAGTAAGCAGAGTGGCAGAGGGAGAAGCAGGCTCTCCACTGAGCAGGAAGCCGGGCGTGGGGCTTGATCCCAGGACCCCAGGATCATGACCTGAGCCAAAGGCAGCCGCTTAACCAACTGAGCCACCCAGGCGCCCCACCATAAGATCACTTTTGATTCACCTTTTAAATCTGCTCTTCCCTCAATCTTTCCCATTTTAATCAGTGCCACCTCCATCTTTCTAAATGCTCAGGCCCCAGGATGTTTGGAAACATCCTTGACTCATATGCCACAGCCAATCTATCAGCAATTCCCTCTTTGTCCTACTATTTAAATAAAGCGAGAACCTGACCCTTTCCCATCATCTTACCTGTACACCCCCCAGTTCAAGCCACTACCATGGCTAGCCTAGATTATTGCAAGAGACTCCTGACTGGTCTCCCTACTTTTATTTACCTTTATTCTCTTAAAATCACCTCTCTCAACAACAGCCAGTGATCCTTTAAAAATGTAAATAGATTCCTATCACAGCAAAACACCAAGCTTTCCAATGGTTTCCCATCTCTTTCTAAATAAAAATCAAAATCCTTACAGCAGCCTATAATAATCTGCATAATCTGGCCCCCAACTACCTCAGACCTCCAGGTAGGCCCACTCTCCCCTCCCAGACTTCCTCTTTCCTCTAATCCACATGGTCCTCCTTGCTGTTCTTTGAAGGGGCTGAACATGCCACCTTCAATCTCTTTATCCTGATTTATCTTACATGACAGTTCTTATCTGTCTTCCCAAACTAAACTTTGGAGCCCTTAATCAGACTCCAGACTCGCCCTGTTTTGTCTTCTGCTGGATTCCCATTTCAAACAGTGCCTGGTACTGAATAGGTGTTCAATAAATCAGTGTTGAGTGAGTGAATTAATAAATTATACTACTAATGCCTAGTAGTATAACCCAGCATAAATCATTTAACGTTTTGTGGATCTCATTTTCCTCATCTCTCAAAGGAGAGACAAACTAGATAATCTCAAAATGCTCCTTTACTCAGTAAACATTTAACGCAACCTACTGTGTGCTTGGCACTGGGTAGGTGCTTCAGCTACAAAAAATGGTCACAGACCCTGCTGTCCAGGAGCTGGATAAGGAGTGGATAAACAGCCACATGGGGAACTACCATAGAGGGCTTCCAGAGAAAACTTCTGAGTGTTCACCTGGCAATGGGTAGGATACACCTAGGCGAAGAGGGAGAACCGGCTTCCCACGTGTGTACTGGGAACCCTTCCAGACTATAAACCTTGAGAAGGCAAGGGCCTCCGGTTTTCTCCCCAGATTTGGCTCCAGACTCGTATTCCTATCGTTATCTTACCTCTGATGCTGGTGCATTTACTGAACGAAGAAGCGGGGTGGGAGTTGGGGAAGATAATGAATTCAGTTCCAGCTTTAAAACTATATGATCTTGGTTAGCATCCACCTATGTCATAAAGCGAGGCACAGCTTATGGACTTAGGCTTGGACCTACGTATTGTTTTACACTGTTCTCAAGCCCCCGGAACACAAATCACATCCTCTATAACCTTGGAGGCCCCTGGCACAGTGCAAAGGTCCTCAACGTTTTTTCAGTCCCACACGTCTCAGAGCTTTCCTATCAGGACGTTCCCATCGGCGCGGCAACTTCGGCGCTGAGCTGATACCGCTAAACGCCTGCGACAACATCCGCGCCCGCCCGCGAATCGTCCCACACGCTGGGACCTTCATAGTCGGCTCTTCTCGAGCGTTCCCGGGTGTCCTTGCTAGTTGGCCCCCCGCAAGCCCCTGCGCTAAGCTGGGAGGAGTCGACCTCTGCTGACTCTACCAACTGAAAAGTGCAGGGGTGGAGGCACTGAGCATGCTGAGGCCAAGGCTAGAAAACGAAAAGAGAAGCACTCTCAAATAATCAGTCACGTCACATTATTATTGGCACATCGTACGGGGCTCCTGTGTCCTCAGAGAAATCTGTTTGTCTATCTTCTAAGCTAAAACAACGCGTGGCTCCCCCTACGTCTGGCGCGCACGGCCTTTGGTCTCTCCCGCGCCGGGCGACCCCGCCGTCACGTGCTCCCCCTGTCCTTCTCGCCGAGCGTGCATCCTGCCGTAGGGACGGCTGAGCCATGGCAGCCCTGCTGAGACCAGCCCGCTGGCTCCTCCGAGCCGGGACGACCCCGCGCCTTCCGCTCTCCCTGCGCCTCCTTGCAGGCGGCCTAAGCCGGCCGCACGCCGCCCCTTGTCTGCCCGCCGCCCGCGCCGGGCCCGTCGCCGGGTGAGTGCCCAGGCTCTACCCTTTGCCCGTCTGCAGCGCGGGCGTCCCCCGGGGTCGTGATGCTGGCGGGGGCCGGGCCCGCCTGTCTCTCTCCGTGCCCTCTTCGCCACCCTGGGGCCAAATGTCCCGGGGTCTGGGACCCCGCTCCCCAGTGGGGGTTTTCGGGTGACAGGGTCAGTCGACTTCAGAAGGTCATGGCCGTGTGCTAGGTTTGCTTCCGGCTTGGATTGTGCGCTAATGGTACTGGGTCTTCCTGTCCTCGGGCTACGGGCGACCTGTTAAGCTGGGCGGCGGGGGAACGGAGGGAGGCTTTGAAGACTGCTGCTGGGATCGGGTGTTACTCTTCTCCTTAGGATTGACCGGCTTGGATGCTGTCCCACGTGCGAACATTATCGGTGATCAGTAACCAGCTAGAACTTAGATTTTGAGAAGTGTATATCTTGGGGGTGGGAAGGATAGGTTGGGAATTTGGGGTGAGCTAGGGATAGTTTAGAGAGGGACGTTTAATTGTGATCAGCTTGGGCTTTTGCCTGCATTTTCTGGAGTGGAGTTTTCCTCGATATTTACAAGGGTGCGGTATGGGTTGGGAATTGTCACAGTAGGGCTCTGTGTCAATGAGTGAATAAGTGAACACGTGCAAGGCATTTCGTGGGGATATAAGGATGCTAAGGGATCCGTGGTGTCAAATGTGTGAATAAATGCTTTCATGGATTGAGGTTTATCGGGAGATAGGTCTGGCATAGACTTGAAGAGAGGATAAGGAAGTTTGATGAAAAAGTATTAGAGTAGTATTCTGACCATTTGAGAAGGGGAGATTGGCACTGAGGTTTTAGAATTGGAGAAAAACTGAGTTTGAAATACTGTTAATAAAGGTACTTTGGGAGACAACTTAAGACTAAGAGCTAAGGATTTACCATTGGACAAGTTACTTAACATTTCTAGGCCTTAGTTTCTTTAGTTAGATGCAGTGGTAATAGAGTTGGTAGTACTGCATGGGATTATCTATAAAAAGCACTTAGCCTAAGGCCTGGTACCTAGTAAGTGCTTTATTAGTTATAATAATAGTAAGAATTATGATTACATGGATCTTTGTGGAGCAGCCTGGAAACCTACTCTCTGCATAAAATTATATGGAGGAAACGTTTTATGACTTCTTAACAACTCAGTTACAGATTTTTGGAACGTAGCCTACTTGTAACTTACAGCCTGCCTGGATTTTGTTATTAGGGCTGAACAGTTAACCTTCAGGAGCCATGCTTCTGCTTCCTCAGAAAGCATTTCTCTGCTTTCAAAGACTTTATTTTGAGAAAGTTGTGCCAGTTACTCTTATTTTTTTTAGTCCTTAACTATCCCTGTGAGGCCAGAGGAGGGTCGATGGTATCTTTCATCTTCACTTTTGCATTTGAGGAAAACAATACAACAGAATCTAATAGAAAGGGTATTGGTCTGGGTGTGCATCAGACCTGGATTCCATTTACTTGTTACATAATCTTACCTAACCTCTTTGATCCTCAATTTCATGTTTTGTAAAGTAGAGGTAACAAGGCCTTTCTCCCTTCTTTGCAAAGCTGATTTCTTGTCATTCAGGATTCAACTTAAATGCTGTTTCTTCAGAGAAGCCTTATCTTGGCACTCAATCTAAAAACTACCCTATTTTAATCATGCTATGTCTAACTTGTCTGATATTAATCTGCTTTTTTTGTTGTTTATTTTCTTAGTAGAAAAAGTGAATTGCATAAGAGCAGGACTTTGTCTTGCTCACCACTGTGTGCTCAGCTCATAACAAGCAGTGAAGGAGTATTGCCTCTTTCTCTTGCACTCTTAACAGTCCTTTTATGCAGTCTCCTGTCCCACAGCCTGCAAGCCTGCCCAGCTCTTTCCCACCTGAAAAACAAACCCTTGGGCGCCTGGGTGGCTCAGATGGTTAAGCGTCTGCCTTCGGCTCAGGTCATGATCCCAGAGTCCTGGGATCGAGTCCCGCATCGGGCTCCCTGCTCCTTGGGAGCCTGCTTCTCCCTCTGCCTCTCTCCATCTCTGTCTCTTACGAATAAATAAATAAAATCTTTAAAAAACAAAAAAAAACAAAAAAAAACAAACCCTTTCCTAGAACTCTGGACTTATCTCTAGATGCTTACCACATTCCCTTCCCCTGTCCCTATTCCTGTCTCCTTTACTTCCTCACTTGGTGTTCACTCTTCGACCCACTGCAATCACACTACTGGCAAAAGCCATCGTCGTTTTATTTATTAATTTTTTATTGTATATATTTTATTTATTTATTTTTTAAGTACATTTCACATTCAGTGTGGTGCCCAACACAGGGCTTGAACTCGCGACTCTAAGATCAAGACCTGAACTGAGATCGAGAGTCAGTTGCTTAACTGAGCCACCCAGGCACCCCTATTTTATATTTTTAAATTACAAAACTCATGTTCCTTGAGGAGCAATTGCAAAATACAGAGGGAATAGCAATAAATTAAAAATCATCCTTAGGTGCCTTGCTAGCTCAGTGGGTGGAGTGTGTGGCTCTTGATCTCGGAGCTATGAGTTCGAGCCCCACTTTGGGTGTAGAGATTATTTAAAAATAAAATCTTGGGGCGCCTGGGTGGTTCAGTCATTAAGTGTCTGCCTTTGGCTCAGGTCATGATCTCAGGGTCCTGGGATCGAGCCCTGCATCGGGCTCCCTGCTCAGCGGGAAGCCTGCTTCTCCCTCTCCCACTACCCCTGCTGGTGTTCCCTCTCCCGCTGTCTCTCTGTCAAATAAATAAAATCTTTAAAATAAAATAAAATAAAATCTTAAATAGATAGATAAATAAAACAAAAAAATTACTCTTAATTCTATCACCCAGAGAAAGCCATTGAGATATATGTGTCCTTTGTGTGTGGATATTTGTGTGTGTGTGTATATATATAATTATGTATGTATAGATGAAAGTTTCATTTAATTTTTCCAAGGGACCTCTTAATTACCAAATCCACTTTTTAAAAATTTAAAAAAAATTTTTTTTAAAAGATTTTATTTATTCATTTGAGACACGGAGATACAGAGAGCGAGAGAGCATTAGCAGGGAGAGAGGCATCACCATCTGAGCCACCCAGGTGCCCCCCAAATCCACTTTTAAGGCCTTGACCTCTGGCATGTTATTCTGTCTCCTATTTCTCCCTTCATGAGACCCTTTGCTTGGCATTGATGACACCAGTCTTTCATGATTCTCATCTCTTTAGGATTTTTCTCATTTGCTTTGTTGCTTCCTTTTTCTTCTGTTCATTTCTTAAATGCTGATGTGTTAGGGGGAGTTTGTCTTTAGTTCTTATGCTTTTTCATTCACTGTGGGTGAGTTCATCCATTTTCAAGGCATCAACCCCTTCCTACCTATCTGATAACGGCATTATTTCTCTTTCTGGTTATAGACCATTTACTAGACACCTCCACTGGTTGAACTACAGGTGCTTCAAACCCATCACATCTCAAATTGGACTCATCTTTCCTCAAATCTGTTCCTTTTGTGTGCCGTGTTTTAGTAAATGCTGCCATTTCTGTCTGCTTCCTAGAGATTTCTCATTCTTATTTCATTGACACCTGACCCGACTCACCTCCTATGTATTGATTACACAAATGATTAGGTTCTGCTAGATTTACTCCATCTGGAATGAATCCCCTCTTCTTCCTCTAAGCCTCATGTTATTCCCTGGTCTCCTTGAGACTGCCATACCTTCATGTCATTTTCCTACTTAGATACTGTGATGGCTTGCATTAGTTCCAGGATAAGGTGCTTCATGATCTGGAGATGGCTGTGGAGCCTCACTTACGAGTTCCCTTCCATGGCATCCTGTGTTCTAGCTGTACCAGACTACTTCTGAGTCCTCTATAGCAGGGCTTTTTAATGAGCATAAGAAATCCTTGGGGATGCTGTCAAAATGTAGATTCTGATTTTGTAGGTCTAGACAGGGGAACTGAGATTCTGCATTTCTAACAAGCGCCCAGATGGTAAGGGTACTATTGGTCCAAGGCTCTGAGGGGCCATGTTGCACATCTCTTTGCCTTTGAATGTGGTGTTCACTCTTGGGATGTGTCGCCCCTTCCCCCATTCACGTGTTCCTTTTCTCTGTTAAATCTTGATTGCTTCTCCCATTTGACCACTCCTCTTTTGTGCTTTCTCTCAGATCCTGAATCACTAAGCATCCATTAGCATGATTACATATGTACCAAACAGCACTCCAGACCTGGCTGTAAGTTCCTTGAAGGCAGTGATTTTGTCTTATTCTTTTTGCCTCCCCTGGTGTCTGACTGTGGCACATAGTAGGTGTCAAATATTTTTTGAGTAGATGAGTGAAAATCTTAGACGTTGAGGAAGGAATATTGTGACATGCAAAGACATTTGAAGTGATATTTAATCCATGCCTGTAGTGTAGTGAACCTCCACAAATTCCACCCCAATTTTGATTTCCAAGAATGTCCTGTGAAAGACAGATGAGCATTATTGAGTGAAATTTTAGAATTTATT